GAGCCAAAGTCAGAGGCTTAACCCACTGAGCCACCCAGATGCCCCCAGGCTGGATTTTTAACACTGTCTCCTAACTGCCCCCCATTGCTCTGCAGCCCACTGGCTTGTTTTATTTCCTCATGGCATCCATTGCTTTTTTTTTTTTTTTTTTTTTCTTTATTTGAGAGAGCAAGAGCACAAGCAGAGGGGAGAGGCAGAGGAAGAGGAAGATGGCTCCCTGGGAGCCTGACACAGGGCTCGATCCCAGGGTCCTGGGATCATGACCGAAGCAGAAGGCAGACACTTAACTGACTTGAGCCAGCCCATCCGTCACTACTAAAACTGCCTTGTTTACTCACGTTTACCGTCTGCATACCCACCTAGATCAGCTTCTGGAGAGAAGGGCCATTGAGCTCCCCACTGCTCCCCCAGCCGCTGGAGTGCCGAGTCCGCAGCAGGTGCTCAGGATGAGTGCAGCTGACCCCACACGCTGGTGGTTGGCCTTTCCCGCTGGCCGCCCACCCCCAGGAAACCCTATTATTCGTCCTAACAACCCCAGCTGTTCTGTGCCCCCTGCTGGGGAGGACGTGCTCATTTGGTCCCACTGATACCCAGAAGGTGAGTCCCCCCCCCCTCCCATGAGGCTGAGGCTTGGAACTGCTCAAGGTCACTCACTGGCCAGAGGCAGGCAGAAACAAAGAGGATGGGAATGGGAGGGTATGGTCAACAGCCAAGTGCTCGCTCCTATCAAGCAAACCTGCCCCTGAAAAGGGCTGTGTATGTGTCACATGGGTGGGGACAGAAAAGGGAGTGGTGACCCCATCACCTGGAGGTGTATCTGTGGCGGGGGATGCTTGTGTGCAGGTCAGCCTGGGGGCACACAGAATACGCTTTCCTCCCCTTAGGAGCGAGCCTTTGTCCCCTGGACCCCACATCCCATTATTCTGGCCATTACCAACTGACTGGGTGGGGAGCCTGCCAAGAGAATCCCACAGAGGTAGAGCCCAGGTCCCATGCCCGCCTCTGCCAGGGGTGCCTGGCACCTCTGGTGGCCCTGGACCAGGTCCTGACCCCTTCTGCCTGTGGGCTTGACCCCCAAGATCGCAGGGAATCCTGGTTCGGAGACCCCAGTAGGAAGAGGGAGAGGGAGAGATGTCACCACCCTCGCCAAAGCCAGGGGCCCTCCAGCAGGATGCTGCCCACCCACCCCCTGGCGGCCAGGGCCTGAAGTGCAGCTCCAAGCCGCTCCGGAATCCAAACGACCCAAGGTTGGGAGGAACTGTGGGGGCCAACAGGGGTCTTCTGAATTAGCCCAGAGCGGGCTTTGAGGACCACTCCCCCCAGAGCCCAGAAGGGGCTCCAGAAATGTTAGCATCAGACATCTTGGGAGGGTCCCCAGCTTGGGACTCCTCTGGGCCCTCCAGACCTCGCCCTGCCTGTCAAAAAGGAGGACCCTTGTCTAATTTCAGCAACCTGCTCTGGGCTTCCAACCAGGGCATCAGGACCCCAGCCCACTCACTGCGAGGACCGTGCAAACTGGGAACCAGAGGGTCTCAGGCCACCTCGAACGTACTTGGTAACCACACCAGCCCATCCCCAGCTAGCGTGAGCACCGCAGGGGGCGCCAGAACCAGATGGCCAGTGGCTCCCCAGCTGGGCTGGGAGCGCCCAGAGCTGCCCCGGCAGCAGCCTCAAGGGATCGGAGGCAGAACGCGATCCAGAAACAGAGGCTGTGTGAGGCCGCTGGGGCTGAGGACGGGTGCCGAGTCTACAAGAGCATGGGACACCTGGAACACCAGGATCAAAGCCCAGTTGGTCTCAAGGACGTCGGCGGGTCAGGCTGCAATCAGAGGCTGGGGTGTTGAGCTTGGATCGGCCCAACTGCTCAGCAGCATTACAGGAGCCCAGACCCAGAGGACAGTAGGTGCCCCTATGCTGGCCAGCAGAGCACAGGGTAGAGGCTGAACAGGCCCAACCCAGAACGTTCAAGGGGCCCAACGGCTTCACCGGCTGGCCAAATCTCACTGGTGTGCTCCCGTCCCCAACCTGTGACAGCTCTCAACTGGCCCCTTCCGCAGTGTCAGCACGCCACGGTCCTCGCAGGCCCAGGTGCCTCTGCCAGGCAAGCCCACCCTCGCCCAGTGTCACTGGTGGCAAACAAGCCAACGCTGGAACCCAAGACTATGTGGATTAGTGACTGAATTACTCTTACATTGAACAGACCGGGGCTGGTCCTGCCATGCCCATCAGCAACTCCAAAGACCACAGGAACATGAAATCCCCACTGCCTCCCTCCCACCGGGCTGCCACCCACACTGGGCAAACACACCCGAGCTCTACAGCAGAGCCAGCACCGCCCGCCCTCCGCCGGGACACACGCATTTGCACAAAGCCTGCTGCTCCCGGGGCAGACCAGGGCACAGCTTCGTGCTGTCCTTACACCCTGACGGGAGTTTACTCATTTGAACCAAACGAGTGGTGGGGGGAAAGGAGATCCTTAGCGAAGCCAGAGGCCAAAGGCAACATCTCTCGAACACGAGGCCCCTGTGGCCATGGCGGCAGCAGCCAGGACCAGGAAGCAAAACCAGAAGCAGAGCTCACTGGAAAATAATTTTTATTGAGATCCCACCAGCTACACAATCTGCTCCTGACATTAAGCTCCTTCTTCCTTTGCAATTCGGTCTTTCTTAAGTGGTCCCTGTGGAGAGAGGGCAGCAGGCAAAGTCAGAGGGAGGAAGGCAGCTAGGCACAAAGACTACCCCGCACCCCACTGGGATGAGAGACTCAGCCCCCCTCTCCCAAGCCAGCCAGTCTGCTCACCATGAATGCTTTCTTCTCCTCCACCGTCTGGAATCGGCCGTGGCCAAACTTGGAGGTGGTGTCGATGAACTTAAGGTCGATCTTCTCCAGGGCCCGCCGTTTGGTCTGCACCAGCAAGGACTACAGGCCAAGAGAGGAAGGTTAGTTACGAAGAGCCAAGCCTTCCTCTGCCTCATCTTGGTTCACAAGCCCCCTCAAGCCTTCCTCTGCCTCATCTTGGTTCACAAGCCCCCTCAGCAGAGGACCAGCAACCTCCATCAGCCCCTCCACGCTAGCTGGTTTCCCCAAGGATCTCGTCCTACTGCCCCCCTGAGCAAACAAGCTGGAGCATGCCAGACGGGGAATTTCCTCCTCCCAGGACTTCAAAGCCATGGCTGGAGCGGCAAGCACTATGCGGGCACTATGTTCGGCTGTCCCCCATCACCCGCCCTGACGCAGAGGGCCCCAGCCTCACCTTGCGGAGCGTAAGCACTCGCTTCTTGGTTCCCACCACACAGCCCTTCAGCATGACGAAGTCATTGGTCACTTCACCATAGTGGACAAAACCACCCTAGAAAAACCAAGGTGTCAGGTCAGATTAAGCACGGGGCCAGATATCGCTCAGACAACACACACGAATGACCCCTTCACGTTCAAGGTGGTCCTCGCCGCCTGATGACCACCAGGCTGTTCTCAGAAGGAAGGCAGCAAGGAATGTTTCCGCAGTGTGACTCGGGCGCTGTGCCCAGCGCTCATTCCAGAGCCTCATCACCAAACAGCTGGGCCCCCTGAGACCCCACTTCTCACCCATCAGCCCCAACAGCTGGACTGAAGACCCAGCATTTCCAAGCAACAGACGACCGGGTATGGTCTGTGCAGGGCAGTTAACAGACTCTGGAAACGGCCTCCACATGTCAACCAGGACCCGAAAGCGCTTCAGTCCCAGCCCACAGGGGAGGCCTGGCACAAAATCCTGCCAGAGCCAAGAACTTGGAAGCTTGGAGAAGGCGGCTCTCATTACTCACCAGGGGATTGATGCTCTTGTCAGACAGATCGTAGTCCGTGGAGGCATTGTTCTTAATCAGCTTGCCGTCCTTGATGAGGTAGCCCTGGCCGATCTTGTAGATCTAAGAGAGGGAACAAGCCCTTCAACACTGGGAGAGAACAGTCGTACGTGGCCCATACACTGACGGGAGGCCAGCCAACGGGGGAAGATAACCCTCAGCTCAGGGGTGGGCAGAAGGCTCTGGATGGAAAGCAGCTACCAGTCCTACCAATGGGGTACCCCAGGCCGGGGACCAAAGGAAGCCAGCTGGGCCTGAGAAGCCTGCCACTTGGCTGAAACGGTGCAGAGGCCTCCCCCAAACTCTCAGAGAGAAAGGAAGGGACAGACAAGGCTCCAATCCCGGGTCCCTCTGAGAACCAGCTGCACCACAACCTACTTTGATGGCACCTTACAGATCATACCGTAAGACCCAAACCATGCCCGTCAGACCAGATGAGCACCTTGGGTCCATATGCATTCCAGAAGCGCTCCCACCGCAGTAGCCCCAACAGGAACCCGAAACCACACTCCCCCCAAGGGCTAGTGTTTTCCTTCCCCGCTGGTCTCCACAGGTGCCCCCTTGGCACCTCACCTTCTTGTTGATCTCCGTGCGGTGATGGTAGCCTTTCTGCCCAGCTCGAGCCACGGAGAAGGCCACGCGGGCAGGATGCCAAGCCCCAATACATGCAACCTTGCGCAGGCCCCGGTGGGTTTTGCGGGGTAGCTTCTTGGTGTGCCAGCGGCTGGTGACACCTGGAAGAGATGTGAGCTTGTCACCGGGGCGTCTGGCACTTGTGCCATTGGCCCCTTTCCTGCTGAATGCCTGATGGGAGTTTACTCATTTGTGGTACGTGCACAGAACATCGTCTAACAGCCACTAAGTCTGAGAATGGGTGGGTTTAATGTCCTCTCCCCACTCCTATGTCCTCAGGCTGACCACCAGCCTAGACGTAAACCTGTTCTCAACCTGTAAAACAAGGCCTTGGAGAATGAGCCCTGAACTAGACGGGGACCGTGTGCATTTCACCGCATCCACCAAGTTCCTCGCTCGCAGAGGCCCGCCCAACTTCCCAGAACCCTCTGCCTTCTGCAGTGGGCACCAATGGTGAGGGTTCAGGCGGATGGTGAGGGATCGCCCCCACTCCTCCGTGTACTCACCCCCCCACCTGACCACAGGGCTGTTCTCAGAAGGGAGTGAAGCAAGTCTCTGGAATCTTACTCAGGCCATGTGCCCAGTGCTCATTCCATAGCCTCAAAAATCTGGCCCTGAAACCTCGGAGTTTTACAATTTGGGTCACCGCAAAGCTCACCTTTGTAGCCTTTGCCCTTGGTGACACCAATGACATCGATCATCTCGTCCTGCCCAAACACTTGGTTCACAGGCACCTGCTGCTCCAGCCTCTCGCGGGCCCAGTCCAGCTTCTCAGCCACTGTGCCTCCATTCACCTGGATCTCCATGAGGTGGGCCTTCTTCTGGCGCAGAGGAAGCAGGCGCATCTAGGAGGGAATCAATACAGCTCAGATCCCGAGCTCCAAGCTCTCCTTCCATGGCAAGGGAACTCAGGGTGGAAAGTCTGGCAACTCTGAACCTCCTGTCTCCCTACTGGCAAAAATGAAAAGACTCTTTCTGGTGTCCTAACTCCCTACTGGGTACAAGTCCCCTTCTCAATTCTGATGCCCAAATTCACCATGATGAGCTGATCCTTTAACAGACATGTAGGGCCACGCCAACACAAGCAGACTGGAAACAAATCCTAGGATCAACAAGCCCCACGTTCCTGATCATTAGGGTTTTGGCTGGTCCCTTTGGAGTACTGCCTTGGTTTACCCTGGCCATCTACCTTAGTCTGTCAATAAGGCATTTACGCTGTGGGAGAGTGGAACAGCACCTCAGTCAAGGGCACAAGCTGCAAAGATTAGGGCGAAAAAGAATTCAAGGCAGAACTTCATTAGAACAGCCCAGCACTGTCCTACAGAACTTTCTTCAGCTTCAGTAACGGGCTTACTACAAACGTGAGCCGATGGTCACAGCTAACCACAGGGAAACTGAATCTAACTAAGGAATCAAGTATAACCCTAGGATGGCAGCTCAGACCAGCTTCACGAGAGCAACTCTGACCAAGTCAGGAAAAGGCTCATTCAGTTCACACCAAGTCAGATTTAAGCACAAATGGCCAACATCTCACTACTGACTACGGTTTTCAGTTGGGTATTTCACAGCATCTTAAGACTCACCAGTTCCTTCCACTGCTTTTCCTAAAATGGGGCGGTTTCCCTAATACAAAGCCCATAGAAACAGGGCGCCCTCTGCTGGCAACAGATAAACCAACACCAGGCTGCCGCCTCAGGCCAATGATGGGTCTTAACCGGCCCCCAGAAATCAAGGGAAGGGCAGATGCCCCACGCGGCTAGCTGGCCCATCCATTCAGACAAGTAACCGGAACTGGTCTTACCACCCCCCTCTAAAACCCTGAGACAAAGTCAGTTCGGGCTGAGGATTAACTCAGCAGGTAACAAGGTTAAGCACCTGGTAACTTGCAGTGGGGCAGTCGCCCTCCTTGTGTGCCCTAGTGCTCACCTGAGTGTGGGCGATGACCCGGATCACCTGGCAGTACTTCTTCATGCTGTTGAAATCCTTCTCGAGTTGCTTTTTGCCATCATCATCCTGCCACTTCTTGCAGTACTTGGTGAAGGCCTTCTTCTTAGACTTATGCCTTCAGGAGCAGAGCAGAGTTGGGGAGGGGGCCGGGTGCAGGCCTTCATCACCCCTCCAGGGGGTGAGCGGAAGGCACACTGGCACCACTTGGGGATGGAGCTCATTGCCGGCTTCTAAGGAGCCTTTTCCACCGGCAAGCGGAGCCTGGATGGAGCTCATCGGGCAGAGCCGAGCGGAGCTGAGCAGAGGTCCACAAAATTAATGCAAGTCACAAGCATTCAAATACACACTAATTCTTGCTCTGGCTGAGCCATTAACCCAACCACACTCCCGGGCAGGCCTGGGGGAGTTACACTGCTCTCAGGTTCTAATCAGACTCTCAATACTTCCCAGCAACGAAGAGAACACTGAATACGGAGTCCTCAGCCAGCACCCACTAGGGTGAACATGAAGGTCCAGAGGTGCTCAAGGTGCGCCCTCAGAACCGTTCTGTTCAGGAGGCAACGACTAACCCTGACACCAGAGCAGCTCTCCCCCAGCTACAGAGAAGCCCAGCACAGGGTACTACTCTCTTCCCTGCTAATCCAGAGTGCATGGCCTCATCATCCCTTACCAGTTCTTATAGAAGCGCCTTTTGCATTCATCACTGATGTGCTCAGCAAAGATAGTCTTAAAGGTACGGAGGCCTCGAGGGGTTTCCACGTAGCCCACGATACCCACAACCACCATGGGTGGTGTCTCCACAATGGTCACAGCCTCCACAACTTCCTTCTTGTTCACCTCTGCCAAGACAGGGGTCAGACTTGAGTGGGATGGCTAGAATCCCCAACAAGAGATCACAATGTTTTGCACAAACGTGAAATGCCCGTTTAGTTCAAGAGGACAACCTGCTTCGAATAACAGGCAACTTTGCAGAAATGAGGCCTTATCAGCAATCTGGACTCCCAGGCCTGTCCTTACCACACACTATAATTCTAACAAAAAAAAAAAAAAAAAAAAAAACAGGACTCTCATACACGCTAGCTTCAGTTCTCATCGATCATGAATCTTTCTAAAGGCAAACTCCTTGTTGCCTAGATAATACAAAAGTACAACGTATAAAGGGATGTGCTAACAGATCTGAGCACAAAGTAGGTGTTCGATGCCTACATTAGAATGTACCGTAGGGGGTCACCTGGGTAGCTCAGTGGGTTAAAGCCTCTGCCTTCGGCTCGGCTCATGATCCCAGGGTTCTGGGTTCGAGCCCCGTATCGGCAGGGGGCCTGCTTCCCTGCCTACTTGTGATCTGTCAAATAAAGGAGTAAAATCTTTAAAAAAAAAAAAAAGTACCATGTGGTACAGGAACCAGTGCTGTTTTACTGAGTGATTTTTTTCTCCTTTGCACTTCATAACCCAGGGACATGGGCAGCATTAACGCTTTCAGGTTAAGGTACCCAAGTACTCCTTAGTCTTCTCTTCGACACTTCGGCTGGAACAATTTCCTCACGTAATGCCCTGACTTCGATACATCCCCCCACCTAAAGCAATGCCAGCCACCTGTAGCCTTTACTAGTCACCAATCCTGCCGGAGACTTCCATTCTGTCAGGAGGCCGGCCTGCCCTCTGCTGACCGCAGTCCAGTCCACCCCCACCCTCAGCTCCTCACCACCACCACGCCTAACCAGCGTGAAGGGGGCTGCCTGTACTCACTGGATCCTGGCCTGTCCACCTCCCGCACGATATGAGTCATGCCGGCCTTGTAGCCCAGGAAGGCTGTGAGATGGACAGGCTTGGAAGAGTCATCCTTGGGGAAGCTCTTCACCTTTCCGCGGTGCCGGCTGCTGCGTTTCCGAGGCAAGAACCCCAGGGACCCGTGCCTGGGAGCGGAGAATTTCCTGTGAGACTGCGAGAAAAGGGTCAACGTTAGCACTCAAGCTTATCTTAAGGAGCTCACATCTGATGCCCGGCTTGCCTCAGTGGTGCAAGGGTCCGCCGCAACACGGGGTCCACACCAGAAACCCAGCAGCTCAGCCTACATGCTTACGTGCTGGGCTGGGTTCTGAGAAAGGTCACTGACCCTTAATGCCTTGAATCTTTGCCTCAAAACCTCATTTTGTAACCAAAAAAACAGCCTCTCCTTTATTCTCTGAACAGGACAAAAGCACACCAGGTGATGTGCTTAAAATGACCTCACAGGTGGCTGTCAAGGCCACATCAGCACAAAACGGGCGCTGGGACCAAGAACTGGGTAGCAAAGGGCACCACACCACAGGCTCCCCAGCTGGACGGACACCCGAAGGCCCCTAGAACTCGACAGAGCCAAATCAGAACCTGACAATCAGCACGGAGCCTCTGTCCGCCCGTCAGTGAGTTCATCATCTGTGGTTCCTGGGAATTCCAGAGGCCTTACGTGGGGCACCAACGCTAACCCAGGTTAGCCCAAGCTCCCCCCAACCCCGCAGTCAGCACAGGAAGGGCCTAGCGCCCCCACTCAAGCTCCCCCTGGCCCATGCGCTCGCAGACTCTCATCTAGATTAACACTGAATGCGTGAGCTCGAGACCCAGAAGTGATCAGTGCCTCGAAAATTTCAGGGCTTGGGACCTCCAAACCGGAGCCCTCCCCAAAGGCCTTCGCCAGCCGCCCCGCGGGCCCCAAGGCCCCAGGCCTCCCGTGTTTTCAGAAAATAGGCCTCGCTGGGGATCTCGCTAAGCCCCCCGTGCTCTCGGAACAGGCCCCCGGCGCCCGCCAAGTTGAGATGGCGGCGATGGGCCACGGATTGAGCCGCACCGCCGCGCCAACAGCGAGAAAAACGCCATAGCGACACATACCATCCCGCCGCCGAATGCTGCCGGTAGAGGTCGGAAGACGCCCGACGAGCCATTTATAAAGCCCCGCCTGGGCCCGCCCCTTCCGGCGTACGAGCGCGCGCCCGCGGTGGACGACGGGTCGTGGGGCGGGATCGGACCGCCATTTCCACGCGTGCTCGTCCTCGCCGAGCGATAGTTCTGAGCGGGACGTCACCTTCAGGGGCGGGGATTAGAGACTACGGCGAGCGACTGGGTTCAAACTTCGTACTCTGGCCAAGAATAGGAACGCGGTGATTGGATTGTGGGACTTCAGGTAGCTGCCGAATGTGCTAGAAGATGCGGTTACGCTGAAGCTAAATAGCTGTGTCTTTTTTCATGTGAAATGCAGTCACCTCCAGGATTGAATAACCCAGCTGCGGGTTTCAGTCCCAACGCGCCTTCGCACGTGGTGTCCCATTTCCGTCCCACTCAGTAAATCCGCTGTGTTGCCATTTGTCGGTCACTCCGGTTTGGGACGAGATGCCCCGCTGCCACCTGCTCAGAGTTGGAGAGAAAAGACCGAAAGCCTGGTTTCCTGGCTCCCAACCCAGAGCCGCTTCCACACCAACTTGCCTTTAATGCATTGTTTTCGGACGTGCTGTCCCTCAGGCCCCATCTCAACCACTTCTCCCGGTGTCCAGCTGCTGTGGCCGGGCTTCTGGCTTCTAAGAGTCAAGGGGGGGCGGATCCAGCTGCCCATCCTGGACGCCTGGCCCTTCTGCCTCGGGGACCCTCGCCGATCTCTGCTTGCACCCCTACCTCCCACCCCCACCCCCCCC